ACAAGGATTTGTCTTATGAGGAGGAGCCGGTAGCTATTCTAGACAGGCAGGTTCGTCAGTTGAGATCCAAGAGATTTCCTTCTGTTCGTATTCAGTGGAGAGGTCAGCCTCCTGAGGCATCGACCTGGGAGTCCGAGTCCGATATGCGGAGCTGTTATCCTCATCTTTTTCCCGACTCAGGTACTTTTTTCTTTTGTCCGTTCGAGGACGAACGGTTGTTTTAGAGGAGGAGAATGTGACGACCCAACGGGTCATCACCTATTTTCTTACCCATTCTGTACTTCCGAGGCCTTGAAAACCTTATTTAGGTTGCCTCGATTTGCATGCGCAGTCCGGGCGCGTAGCCGGAAGGCTTAAATATGAATTCTGTGAGAAAAATGCTAAATTTTGATATTAAAATGAATAAATTTGACTTCGGTCAACATTTTGGGTAAACGGACCCGGACTCGTGATTTGATGGTCCCAGAGGGTCCGTAGGAAAATATGGGACTTGGGCGTATGCCCGGAATCAAATTCCGAGGTCCCAAGCCCGAGAAATGAATTTTTGTGTGAAATTGTTTTCTGTAAATTATTAAGGAAATTGGAAATGAAATTTCATTAGAAGAATATGGTATCGGGCCCATATTTTGGTTCCGGCGCCCGGTACAAGTCTTATATATGATTTAAGCACTTTCTGTAAAGTTTAGTTGAAAACGGACGTCATTTGACGTGTTTCGGACTTAAAATGGAAATTTGATGTTTTATGAAAATTTGGAAGGAATCGTGGATTTTGAGGCTTAATTCAATGTTTATGATGTTATTCTGGCGATTTGATAGCGCGAATAAGTCCGTAGGATGTTTTTGAGGTTGTGTGTATGTTTGGTTTGGAGTCCCGAGGGCTCGGCTGAGTTTTGGATAGGCCACGGGGTGAAATTTTGGACTTAAGGAATTGCAGGCCTGCAGGCTTCGCATTTCCCAAACTTTTCTCGCAATTCCCAGGATTGTTCGCATTTCCCAAACTTTGTTCGCAATTACCAGGCTTCGCATTTCCCCAACTTTTCTCGAAATTCCCAGGCTTGTTTGCATTTCCCAAACTTTGTTCGCAATTCCCATATCTGCAACCTGCATTTTTCATACTTAGTCGATTTTTAAGACATTTTCACCCCATTTTCAAAATACAACTCCTTTGGGCGATTTTTCAAGAACAAACCTTCTTCCAAATCAATTGTAAGTTGATTTTTACTCATTTCTTTCAATCATTAACATCATTTAACATGTTTTCAACTTAAAATCAAGCATTTTCATGGGTGAAATTGTGGGTTTTGGGTAGAACTTAGGTTTTTCTAAAATTGGGGATTTGGACCTCAATTTGAGGTCCGATTTCAAAACAAATTACATATTTGGGTTCGTGGGGGAATGGGTAACCGGGTTTTGGTTTGAACTTCGGGTTTTGACCACGTGGGCCGGGGGGCGATTTTGGAATTTTTGGGAAAAACTTTGGGAAATTCATTTTTATGCATTCAAATTGATTCATTTAGTGTTTATTAAAGTAATTAAGTGACTTGTGACTAGATTCGAGCGGATTGGAGGTGGAATCACGGGGTAAATCTATAGTTGAGGCTTGAGTTGAGTTCAAAGCATCGAGGTAAGTGTTCGGTCTAACCCTAGCTTGAGGGATTAGGAGTTGAGTCATAATTGCTACTTGTTTTGTGTTGAGTACGACGTATGGGCATGGTGACGAGTATCCATGCGTCGGTGTCGAGCATGACCGTGAGTCTTAATTTGATAATTGTGTACCCTTGTTTGATCCTATGAAAGTTGTGACTGAATATTGGTATTAGTTGTGCCAAGAAGAAGTTGAATAGGATTGGTTATAGCTGACTCTCCCTTGTCGGGATGTTTGACTTGTTGTTATAGTTCCCTTGCCGGGAAGATTATTAATTTGATTGTTCCCTTGCCGGGATTGTATTGTGTATTGTATTGAAATGGGAGCGGGTGGTACGCCTACCACAAGTGAAATTGAAATGGGAGCGGGTGGTACGCCTACCACAAGTGAAACAAAATGGGAGCGGGTGGTACGCCTACCACAAGTGATATTGAAATGGGAGCGGGTGGTACGCCTACCACAAGTGATATTGAAATGGGAGCGGGTGGTACGCCTACCACGAGATATTGAGAAATGGGATCGGGTTGCACGCCTGCAACAAGATGAGTTGAATATGAAAGTTGCCTTATCTCTTCATTTATTGCTAGAAGTTAAACTGTAGATGTACGCTCTATTATTCCCGATATTTTATTTCTATCTGTTACCCCTGAAGCATGCTCCCTTCCCCAGCTTAAATTATTTATTCTTGCTATTTCTCTGTGGTACTTGTATATATATCTGCACAGGTTATCTGGAGTCTGGTCCTAGCCTCATCACTACTTCGCCGGGGTTAGGCCAGACACTTACCAGCACATGGGGTCGGTTGTGCTGATACTACACTCTGTGCTCTTTTGCACAGATCTAGGTGCTGGACAGCAGCTGCAGTAGCGCGGGAGTTAGCCTTTAGTCCAGCGAGACACCCAGGTAGCCTTGCAGGCGTCCGCAGGCCCGACGTCTCTTCTATCTTTTATTTCAGTCTGTTATCTCATGTATTTCGAGACAAACAGTTAGATTTTCTTTCAAACGGTTGTATTTAGCACTCCTAGTAGTTCGTGAGTATGTGACAGCAGTTCTTGGCTAGAGATTTATGTTGAGTTTTCGCATTGTTGTTCAGATTCGTTAATTTAAGACTTTCGCTTATTTACTTTATTCCGTTGTTTTCATGATATTACTGATAATTGTTAAAAGAAGTAAATTGGTTAATGCTAAAGGTAGTTAAGGTTTGGCTTGCCTAGCTCTCATCAGTAGGCACCATCACGACTCCCGAAGGTGGAAATCCGGGTCGTGACATAGTTCAACTCTCATTCTCTATGATCAAGTCTAATTAGTTGTAATCTTAATTTAGTAGTTATTTATAGTAATAATTACTCCAAAATAAGTGTTGATCATCCTGAATAGCAAGTAAGCCAGAAAATTACTCGAATATTATTTAAATCCAATCTCTGTGGAGACGATAATTTTACTATATTATTTTTGGCTAACAAGTATTAATTTTGTGTTGTGTTTTGTGCTCGTCAATGAGTGCAAACGAATTTATACTTGAAAAAGCTATTAAACTCACTTTTTCAAACTTGAAACTCATCTTCAAAAAAGATTTCGAAAGTTCAGTGCAAACATATGACCAAATAGTATTTTTAAGAACATGAGTTCCGGAAAAAAAAGAATTTTTTTATGGACAAAAGGGGTCCTAAGTTAACTAAGCAGTACAATATCCCTAGATAGTCGTTAGTTGGTTTTCAGCTTAAAAATTTGCAGCTAATGTTTTCAGTTATATATTAACTAGTAAGGTTATGCTCCGGCTTAGCCCGGACCTAATGACTACCTGAACAATTTGTGTCTAAATATTAAGGGTGTATAAATCGAACTGGAAAATCGCATCAAATCAAAAAGTCAAACCAAACCGATTAAAAACCTGATGAGGTTTGGTTTGATTTGATTTGGTATTGAGTAAAAATACCCGAACCAAACCGACATATAAATATATAATTTTTATATATACTTTTAAGACTTTATGTAGAATTTTCTTTAAAAAAATGTCTAGAAATATTTGCGATTCTTTTATGGGATGTAATAGTTTAATAGAATATGAAGTGCTCCATTTTTATTAACTTTAAATAATGTGTTGTATGAGCACTTTCTTATCAAGTGTTATTGAAATGGTCAAACTCTTTGTTCTTTCATATTCATATGTCGAGATCTAATAAATTCTTATCTTTTTCGAATTTGAATTAGTATTTCGATAATTGAAAATTAAATAGTAAATATCATTATTAAGGTATCATATTGATTTTTATATTTAATGATTAAATTAGGTTAACCTTGAAAGTGTACATCAACGAAAAGCTATTATGAGACAACTAAAAAAATAACTATCATGTGCTACTTAGAAAATTATCCCATAAGAATATTTTGATAAATCAGATATTTGTCAATTTTTTTAATTTTTATTAAATATATATTTACTTATCAAATATTTAACAAAGTAAAATTAACATATTATTCATGATAAAAAAACTCAGAAAACCCAAAAAGTTCGACAAAGCCGAACCAATCCAACTGATATAGTTGGTTTGGTTTAGTTTTAATAAAAACAAAACCAACCCAATACATGTACACCCCTACTATATATATATCTTGATTTAATCATTTTTGTATCATTCAGAAATTTCTCAGATGTTTTAAAAGGACCTCATAGTTGGTTATAGGCACCTAATAGTATGAGACAGCTAAGTGATGGAACATTTTTAGCTCCACTCTTCGACAATCGTCTATGTTGTCTGATTTTTCAAATTTTTTTCTGGCAAAATACCGATTGTTGTCAGCTTTTGAACTGGTGCATATGCAACGACACCGGAGCAGAAAGTCGAAGCTAATGGAGTAAATTGTTGATTCAACAACTCTTTTTACACTAGTGGGGGTCAACTGTGCAGTTTTCGGATATAACCAAGAAATTAAAAAATAACACACACAACCATTTTTCGATAGTACTATTAAATGTTGAAGTGTAATATTAGTTTTTATTATTAAAATTACTTAAAATCATTAGTAAGATAAGAGTATCATAATTTGTCGGATGAAATGTATAATGTCATTGTTAGATAAAAGGTAATTCTTGTATATTACGATATTTGAACACTTTCTTTTCTTATTCTCACTAAAAAGGTGGAACTTTTTAGAAGATTTTCCATCTAAATTTACCTTTAGTTTTTTGACTCTAACTTATATAATAGACGACCTATACTTTTGTAGAATATGGTGACTTCATATTAGATTGTATTAGTTATTATCGCTATCCTAAATGTAACTCAATATCCTGCAGCTCAGTTTTGCAGATGATCTTCTACTATTTTGTAGAGGAGATCTCAAGTCAGCACAGATGTTAAATGAGTGTTTTCACCAGTTTTCCTCAGCATCAGGATTAGTTGCAAACCAAGGGAAAAGTTGCATCTATTTTGGAGGTGTGCCAGAACATGTGCAGCAGCAAATATTGGCAAGCTTGGGATTCTCCCTGGGTGAATTACCCTTCAGGTACTTAGGAGTACCACTGAGTGCTAAAAGACTGTCAGTTAACCAATGTCAACCTTTACTGGACATAATTCTAGCTAAAGTGCAAAGCTGGACAACAAGATTTCTATCCTATGCAGGTAGACTACAAATGATTATAAGTGTGTTACTATCTATACAATCATTCTGGACGCAAGTATTTCCTTTGCCAAAGAATATCCTAATGAAGATTGAAAGCATTTGCAAAAAGTTCTTATGGACAGGGGAGGTAGAGGGGAGCAAGAAGGCTGTGGTTGCATGGACACAACTTTGTTGGCCAAACACAGCAGGAGGCTTGAACATTACAGACATAGTCACTTGGAACAAAGCAGCAATCCTGAAGCAGATGTGGAACCTATGCAATAAGAAGGACAGATTATGGATCAAGTGGATGCATATCTATTATATAAAGAAGGAGAAAACATGGAATGTGAAGACCAATCAAGCAGCATGGACAACTCAAAAGATTCTAAAAGCTGGGAAGTATCTGATATAAGCAAGAATCAATGTTGAAGAAGTAATGTCTCGGAAGGACTACTCAATAAGAGATGTATATAACAAGATGAGGGGTGAATTCACAAAGGTTAATTGGAGGAGATTAATTTGTAACAATTGTAGTAGTTCAAGATGGATGTTCATTATGTACATAGCTGTCCAAAACAGGTTATACACAAAGGACAGATTACTGAAATGGGGGAGTATCACAAGTGCAGAATGTGTCTTATGTGAAGCAGCTGATGAAAGCCACGACCACCTGTTCTTTACATGCAAGTATTCAAGCAGTGTGTGGGAGAAGGTACTGAACTGGGCAGGAATAGGAAGAAGAGCCAGGATATGGTCAGAAGAAATAAAATGGGCCAGTACATATGCAACGGGGAGGAAAGCAGATGCAGCCATCTACAGAATGATCCTAGCTGGAGCTGTATATTATCTATGGCAAGAGAGGAACTGGAGAATTTTCAAAAAGAAGAAAAGGAAAGCTGAAGAATTAGTGAGAATGATCGTTCAAGACATACATTGCAGAGGTTCAAAGTGGTTAAAATTGGAGAAGAAGCTACAAGCACTTAATTTCTATCCGTAGTCTGAGCTTGATGTGTAGATAGTTGTTTAGGGAAGCAGTGATATAGGATGGGGCTGTATGTCCGTCCATATAGAGAGGATTTTTTGTAAAGATTAGTGCATGTATTGAGTTTTTTCCCCAGAAATAAAGATTAAATTTTATCAAAAAAAAATGTAACGTTTATATCAATATAAGATAACTTGTATAGTAATTCTTTTCTATATACCTAGAGTTAATTGTTCTATTAATGTTTCCTAATTTATGATTTGCAGCAGGAAAAGGTAAATTATTTTCTCTCCAAAAGTTTTTATGTTCCCAATTTTTTTGCTTTTAATGATAATTGCTTATAGTTCCTCAAGCACAACTACAGAAGTTATCCATTCATTATTTTATCAATTTTTTCTAAAATAATGGACAGTTTACTTTCTTCTAACTTTTTATACCAATTACCTATATAAAGAATTATATGTTCTAATTAGATCATTGTAATAGTTAGTTTATGCACTTGCAAATTTATTTTATTGGTTTCTCGATAAATATAACACTATCTTACTTGATTTGTGAACATATGATATTGACTTGAGATAATGATGATTTGCTTTGGAAATAGAAAATAGATAATCGATGCAATTTAGTTTAGATTTATAGCTATCAGCAAAATCACTATTTTTGCATCTACAAGTATATTACACCACTCAAGAGAAATACAAATTATTACTCCGATCGTTTCATTTTATGTATCACTATTTTTATTTTAATATATTTTAAAAAAATGATACATTTTATACATGTAAATAATTTTAATCTTAAACATCTTGTTTTACTTTTAATGATAAATTGTTATAGTTATAAAGTTATTAAGATCGCAAATTTTAAAAGCCTAATTCAAAAGAAGAAGAAGGCTTTTAAAATTTGTACTGATCCCTTCACGGTGTAGTAACAGCTAAACTGTTATATTGATTCAGTTTTACGTGCTGTTGCTGTGTCATAGCTAGAAAAATTGGAATCAATGCTCTTTGTTATGTTTCTTTGTTTAGTGTAGTCAATTTAGCATGAAATTTAAAAGGGGATAAAGGAAATGTGTGTTGGTTGTCCTGATAATAAGTTGTCTTTCTCCATATGTAAAAAATAAATAAATAAATAAATCAATTGGAGTATATTTTGGATGCTTCATGAAGTGCTTCTTTTGGAGTTAATTTTGACCTGCTTATGCTTTCTTGTATGCTCTCTTCTTCTGTTCAGATCTGTGTACTTCGTTTGGTAAATCAAGGTCCATTTGCTCTTGAGTATTATGCTTCATGCTATTAGCTTGAACTCTCTTAGTTTTTAGTCCAATGTGGTGGGCATCGGTCGGTTCGGATCAGTTAGGAATATTATTGGTTTAGTATATCGGTTATTGGTTTACAAATATGATAAACCGATTACCAAACCAATAAGATATTGGTTATCGGTTATCGATTATTATCGGTTCGGTTATCGGTTTACCCGATAAGATAAAACAACTAAAACAGTTTTATAAACAGCTTTATATCGGTATAAAGCTGTTTTGCAATGTTTCTTGTACCAAGCTAAAATGATTTTATAAAACAACTTTTTTGCAAGCTAAAATAGTTTTATAAAGTAGCTTATTTGTAATTGAGAAAGGTATAAAGACAAGTTGTTTTGCAACTAATAGTTCAACACTGAAATGTGACAACCCAAAGGGTCATCACCTGTTTCCTCATTCATTCCGCGCTTCCAAGGCCTTGAAAACCTCATTTTTTACTTGCCTCGATTTGCGTGCGCAGTCCGGGCACATAGCCGGAAAGCTTAAATATGAATTCTATGTAAAAATTGATGAATTTTGATATTAATATGATTAAAGTTGACTTTGGTCAACATTTTGGGTAAACGGACCCGGACCCGTAATTTGACGGTCCCGGAGGGTCCGTAGAAAAATATGGGACTTGGGCATATGCCCGGAGTCGAATTCCGAGGTCTAGAGCCCGAGAAATGAATTTTTCTGTAAAATTGTTTTTTTGAAATTATTAAGGATAGTAGAAATGAAAATTTATTAAAAGACTGTGGTATCGGGCTCGTATTTTGGTTCCGACGCCTGGTACAAGTCTTATATGTGATTTAAGCGCTTCCTGTAAAATTTGGTTGAAATCGGACGTTGTTTGACGTGTTTCGGATTATAAGTTCCAAATTTGAAAGTTTGTGAAACTTAGNCGCGGCTCAGTCCCCGCGTTCGCGTAGCTTTAATCCTCCCTTCATCGCGTTCGCGAACCCCGTATCGCGTTCGCATAGACCAAACTCCGGACCCCAGCACTTTTCTTCTACGCGTTCGCGTTTGCCTCCACGCGATCGCGATGACTTGCCCAGCTTACCCTTCGCGAACGCGGCCCCCTTCCCGCGAACGCGAAGGGCATTTTTGCCCAGTCATTTTAATACTTCAAAAACAGAATAGTTACGGGTTTTTACTCAAATTTCACACGAGCTCTCTTCTCTCTCAAGCCTTAGGAAGCCATTGAAGCCCCCATTCTTCAAGACCACTTGGGTAAGTAATTTTCTACTTATTTCCTTCATTATCCTTCATTAATTAGTAAGTTTCTACACCTAAATCATATAATCTAGGGTTGAAATTGGGGAAAAAGGGTAGAGTTAGGGTTTTTCGATTTTCTTCGATTTAGACCTCGTTTTGGGGTCGAATTTCAAAACAAAACATAGATATGAACTCGTGGGGGAATGGGTAACCGGGTTTTGGTTCGAACCTCGGGCTTTGACCACGTGGGCCCGAGAGCGTTTTGGGAATTTTTTCGCAAAACTTTGGGAAAGCCATTTTCATGCATTCAAATTGATTCAATTAGCATTTGTTGATACATTCAAGTAATTTGTGACTAGATTCGAGCGGTTTGGTGGTGAATTCGAGGGGTAAAGTTATACTAGAGGTTTGAGTTGAGTTTGGAGCATTCGAGGTAAGTGTTTGGTCTAACTTTGGCTTGAGGGAATAGGAGTAGAGTCTTATTTGCTAATTGCTATTTGTTGGGTACGGTGTATAGGCATGGCGACGAGTATCTATACACTGGTGTCTAGCATGACCGTGTGTCCTTATATTGAGATTATCCTAAATTGTTGTGACTCTTCCATGCTTATTTGATGATTTCTATATATTGTAAAGAGCTTGAGACATAGATTATGAAATGACTCTTGGAGCGATGGCTCGAATGTTAAAGTGAATGAGAAGTGCAAGAAAGTGAAAGAGTTGATTTTTTCCCTTGCCGGGACGTGTTATTGGTTTTGTTGATTTTCTCCCTTGCCGGGATTTAGTTGTGTTGTTATATTTCCCCTTGCCGGGATTGCTGTCACTAGTTGTTACCCCTCTTACCCCTTACTTGTGATTGTTGATTGGGTGAGGTTTTGTTACCTATATATGGATCGGATTGCACGCCGCAACAGTGATAATCGTGGACCGGGTTGCACGCCGCAACAACACTATATAATTGTGGATCGGGTTGCACGCCGCAACAACACTATATAATTGTGGATCGGGTTGCACGCCCGCAACAACACTATATAATTGTGGATCGGGTTGCACGCCGCAACAACATTGTATATTTATGGTTCGGGTTGCACGCCGCAACAGTGATGATTGAGGACCGGGTTGCACGCCGCAACAGTATTGTATGTGATCGGATCGGGTTGCGCGCCGCAACAAATTATAGCGTAAGTGTGTTTACTCCAGATTTAAGTGTCTGTTGGCAGTTCTATCCTTAAGTTTAGACTTCTTGTTTTAATTGTTGCCTCCCCATAGCATGATTCTCCCTCCTTGTATAAACTGCTTATTTCCTGTTTATTTTCCGCAATATATTTCATAACTGCACAGGTTTATCTGGTAGTCTGGTCTAGCCTCGTTACTACTTCGCCGAGGTTAGGCTAGGCACTTACCAGCACATGGGGTCGGTTGTGTTGATGCTACACTCTGTGCATCTTTTTGCACAGATCACAGCGCCGGAGCAACAGCTTTTGGACAGCAGTAGGAGCGTTGGGAGTTGACTTCAGTCCAGAGATTCCGAGGTAGCCTTGTTGACGTCCGCATGGCCCGGAGTCTCTTCTATCCTTACTTCGTTTGTTGTCCTTGTACCGGAACAAACGGTATTGTATTTTATTCAGACTCTGTTTTTGGTATTCTATAGACGTTCGTGAGTTAGTGACTCCAGTCTTGGGTAGAGGTTGTAATTGAAGTTCCGCACTTGTTTTCCATTTATTTATATTTAGAACTTCCGCTTTTATATTAAATGTCTCATTGCCTTAATATTGTTGAGGATTGCCTAAAAAGTTAATGATTAATTGGCTTGCCTAGCTCCTATTAGTAGGCGCCATCACGACTTCCGACGGTGGGAAATCCGGGTCGTGACAAGTTGGTATCAGAGCACTAGGTTACATAGGTCTCACAACTCACGGACAAACTCGGTAGAGTCTGAGGGATCGGTACGGAGATGTCTGTATTTATCCCCAGAGGCTACAGAGTTAGGAAACACTTCACATTCATTCTTTCTTGTCGTGCGGTTCTGTTTCTCAAACACCGGTTGAATTTCTACTATGTTCTTTCGCAGATGGCTAGAACACGCGCTTCTTCATCTACCGCTTAGCAGTCCGAGATCCCAGCAACAGCCCCAGTGGCGGAGCCTCAGGTTGATTTTGAGGAGGAGGTTCCTGTCCCAGCAGTTCCGGTGGGCCCAGCTCAGGTCCCAGAAGGGTTCATTGCCACCCCAGTTCTTCAGGACGTTCTAGTCCGATTGGTAGGCCTCATAGAGGGTGTCATTCGAGCGGGTTTGCTTCCAGTGGTTCCGCCAGCGGTGGCAGGTCAGCCGGGTATAGTGGCTCAGGCCGGGAGTGAGATCACTTTTCAGGAGGCGGCCAATGTAGGCCGTAGAGTTGAGATAACTCTGCCACAGGGAGGTGGTCATAGGTCGGATAAGAGGCCCCGTCATGCAGGCAGATTCAGTGGTACCTCGTCAAGAGGTAGAGGTTCTTATGGT